TACAAAAACACAGGAACACAGAATAATCCCCCTCCCCAAGGACTAGACGACACATAGTCTGGGAGTCAACTGAGGTCTTTATTCACAGTTCTGCTTTTATGCATTTTTCCCATGCAAGGGAGGTAACTTCCATAATTATTACAATATCCAATCACATAGTGGTTACCTCCCCTACATCTCCTCCCCTTAGATTAACAGTTAACCTTATTAATATGTACACAGTTTTCCCCAATTTGTGGATGTACCCTAAATACAGGGGGTACTCCTTTAAATGAGGGGTCCCCTGGTAGCCCTGATCTGGGTGAGCAACATATTCAAAATTCACCAGGATCCAGTGGCGGATCCAGAGCCTGATCTCGGGAGGGGAACTTGTAGATTATTTAAATAAATAATCCAGGCACAATAACCACTACAGCTCAGTGTAGTAGTTATGGTGTCAGTAGTGCCAGGATTCCACCCCAGAGTAAGTAGTCATACCGTTTAAGAACAGTTTGACAATTTACCTGGGGTCTGCTGGGATATAGGGTATAGGAGCAGTTGTGTGTGTTAAGGGTGAAGTGTGTGAGTGCGGCAGTGTATGTCAGGGACAGTGTTTGTGGGGCAGTGTGTGTATGGGGACAGTGTTTGTGGGGCAGTGTGTGCGCATGGGGGCAGTGTGTGTATTGGGACAGTGTTTGTGGGGCAGTGTGTGTATGGGGACAGTGTTTGTGGGGCAGTGTGTGCGTATGGGGGCAGTGTGTGTATTGGGACAGTGTTTGTGGGGCAGTGTGTGTATGGGGGGCAGTGTGTGTATGGGGATAGTGTTTGTGGGGCAGTGTGTGTATGGGGGTCAGTGTGTGTATGGGGACAGTGTGTGTATGGGGGACAGTGTGTGTATGGGGGACAGTGTTTGTGGGGAAGTGTGTGTATGGGGACAATGTTTGTGGGGAAGTGTGTGTATGGGGGCAGTGTGTGTATGGGGGCAGTGTGTGTGTATGGGGGCAGTGTTTGTGGGGCAGTGTGTGTATGGGGACAGTGTTTGTGGGAGGCAGTGTGTGTATGGGGACAGTGTTGGGGGCAGTGTGTGTATGGGGACAGTGTGTGTATCGGGGGCAGTGTGTGTATCGGGGGCATTGTGTGTATGGGGACAGTGTGTGTATGGGGACAGTGTTTGTGGGGCAGTGTGTGTATGGGAGGGCAGTGTGTGTATGGGGACAGTGTTTGGGGGGCAGTGTGTGTGTATGGGGACAGTGTGTGTATGGGGACAGTGTTTGTGGGACAGTGTGTATAGGGGCAGTGTGTGTATGGGTACAGTGTTTGTGGGGCAGTGTGTGTATGGGGACAGTGTTTGTGGGCAGTGTGTGTATAGGTATAGTGTTTGTGGGGCAGTGTGTGTATGGGGACAGTGTTTGTGGGGCAGTGTGTGTAGTGTATGTATGGGGGGCAGTGTGTGTATGGGGACAGTGTTTGTGGGGCAGTGTGCATGTGGGCAGTGTGTTTATGGGGACAGTGTTTGTGGGGCAGTGTGTGTAGTGTGTGTGTGGGGGGCAATGTGTGTATGGGGACAGTGTGTGTATGGGGACAATGTTTGTGGAGAAGTGTGTGTATGGGGACAGTGTGTGTATGGGGACAGTGTTTGTGGGGCAGTGTGTGTATGGGGGCAGTGTTTGGGTAATGGGGCAGTGTGTGTAGTGGTGGAGTATGTGTGTAATGGGGCAGTGTGTGTAATGGGGGCAGTGTGTGTAATGGGGGCAGTGT